GGCTGAATCGGCCTATCAGACGTGGGGGTGGTGTCCTTAGAGCTCACGTCCGAATTAATAACTTTCAAGGAGTGCAACGATGTTAAATTCCGTTGCGTGAAACTATCAGTTAATGGTAGTTCTATTTTTATTACATGTTTCCACATTCCTTCATTGTCGAATCTTCCTATTTAGTGGAACCATCTTTCCGCTATCCAGTCGGTTTCCAAAAGATTGTCTGATAACGACCATTTAGTAGTTCTTGGTGATATTAACATCCCAGGGCTATTTGATCCTAAGATAACTCCACTAATACACTTCTTACCACAACACATCATGATTTTATTGGTGGAGGGTTGCACCCTTTCATCATACTTTCAATGTGATCATCGTCAGACTGTTTCACGGAATAAATCTGATTGTCCAACCCAAGAAGTCCCTTGCTTTCGCAAGACGGACTTCGTACGGCCGAATAATTTTATAATTGATTATAATTGGTCCGATCTATACATATGCACTGATTTCGCCGGATAAAGTAGATATTTTTTACAGTGCTATGAATTCTTTTTTACTAAATGTTTTCCGTTATACTATCCGTTAACATCAAATTAGCCTCCTTGGTTTACCAAAGAGTTGACCCACCTAAAAAATAAAAATTCTGATCTGTATGTAAAGTATAAACCGGTTCTCAAACAGTCCTATCTAGCTATTTATAGACTCGGTCAACTTTTACCGTGCAAAACGCGCAGCAGGGTTTGTATTTAAAAAAATAACAAGAAAGGAAGCTAACTTCGGCACGCCGATGTTTGTATACCCTTGCAGATATTATTTCATTACATTTTACCTATACTTATTATGTTTACACTTTGACAGTTACAGTTTTGCATTCTCTCTCTACATCTACGGATCGCTTCTATGGCAGCTATATGATATAGTTGTCCGATTTTCATAAAATGTATGCCAAAATTCTAAAATAAAACTAAAAGCTCATGTCTCAAAAATGAAAATACGTTGGAAAACAAAGAAGTTATAAATTTTTCTATTACATTCCCTATCGTTCCTATGGCAGCTATAAGATATAGTCGTCCGATTTTCATAAAATTTATACAATAATTCCGATCATTCCTATGGCAGCTATAAGATATAGTGGTCCGATTTTCATGAGATGATAAACAAATTTCAAATGCAATGTTGATTTATTTGGTATTAATTCGAGTCGACTCAGTGACCAAACAAAAATGGGAGGAACAACTCGATTATGAGACTTTGCCGCTTTGGTCCGATTTTGAAAAAATATTAAATCGCCGATATCAGCACTTGTCAGCTGAAGAATCGACCAAGCCGAAGCATGATAAACTACTGTCGAGTAAATCCCATAATCGCAGCTCATTTTCTTGTTCCTCATCCAACAGAAAGCCTCAGTAAACTTGTAGTTACTGCAATGCAGCAGATCATACCCTACAGAATTCTAGCCCGTTTGGGCGGCTCTCTGTAATGCAAAGGTTCGAGGTTGTAAAGTCTGCCTCCTTATGCACCAATTGTCTGCGAAAGGGCCATACTGTGTCAAAATGCAAAGGCAAAAAGTGTCGAGCATGCGACCGCTCACACCACATTCTACTCCATAGATACACAGTGCCTGATAACAGTTTAGCGTTGCCACCCCCCCAAAAGAGGATGTCTCCTCCTTTTAACCAAGATCAGCCTTCCACGTCACATGTTATGCATGCCACGTCATTGGACAGGGTGATTTTGGCTACGTCCATCGTAAGTGTCCGCACAAAAAGCGGTGAATATATTTTAGCCCGAGCACTGCTGGACTCTGGGTCCCAAACTAATTTTATAACGGAAGAACTGGTTAACCACTTACAGATCCGTAGAGAGGAGTCGTGTATCAACCTACTTGGTATTGGACAGTCCAATTCTCAAGTCAAGAAAAAGGTACACACAGTGGTGAAGTCGCGAATTAATGGTAATGAGTTCTCGTTCGATTTCTGGATCTTGAAATCGATCTCCGGTTATCATCCTGATCAATCGGTGAATGTGAGTGATTGGAAGATCGCAAAGAACCTACCATTAGCAGACCCCTATTTCTACAAGTCCCAAAAAATTGATATGTTAATTGGAGCAGAATCAATTTCCGAATTGCTAGCTGTTGATCAAATTAGACAAGGTCCTGACTATCCAACTCTTCAAAAGACCCTTCTTGGTTGGGTTGTCTAGGGCAGATACAAATCATCTGTCCCGAAACAAGTTGTGAATAGTTTCAGTTGTAGTGAAGAACCGTTAGTATCGATTGACAGCACACTACAAAAGTTTTGGTCACTAGAGGAAATGCCATCCCCAAAGAAAATTCTATCACCTGAGCACAAGTTATGTGAAGATCATTAGAGGACGACCACTCAGGTATTGCCATCCGGTCGGTTTGAAGTAAGGCTGCCGTTTAAATCTGATCCAAATGGGTTGGGCAACTCCTTTGAGGTTGCAAAACGGCGGTTTTTGTCGCTTGAGCGAAGGTTGTCTCGAGACCCCAACATGAAGACCATGTACATGGAATTCATGGACGAATATCTCGCCATAGGTCATATGTCGCCTACAGACAATAAAATCCCTTCCACTCCACATTATGTCATCGCTCATCAATGTGTGCTAAGGCCCCAGAGTACGTCTACAAAACTACGCGTCATTTTCGATGCGTCGTGCAAGACTTCGTCTCAGGTGGCCTTAAATGACATTTTACGTCGATGACATGCTAACTGGTGCTGCATGCGTAGAGGAGCTAAAGACAATCAAGCCTGAAGTGTCTCAGGTTCTTCAAACAGCAGGTTTTGAATTGAAAAAGTGGTTTTCAAACTCAACTGAGGTCACTGCATCTGAGAGCACAGTTAAGGCTATACCTATCACGGATTCAGAGTCAACTAAGGCATTAGGAATCTCGTGGTTGCCTAGTGAAAATGTCTTTAAGTTTAAAATTAACACTTCTGTCCTGGGTCTCCGAGCGATAAAACTGAACATACTATCAGTGACATCGAAGCTGTTTGACCCCCTTGGCTTATTAAGTCCCATTGTAATTAAAGGAAAGATCCTATTGCAGGAACTTTGGCTTAATAAGCTAGATTGATTCGGTGCAAAACGGGCCACTTTTCAAAATTTTCTTGTGGCGAAACGGCTAAAGTTTGTTTAATGAATTGAAAACCATATAATAACACAACATTTGAACAGTTTTTGATCAATTTTGTATTGAAAAATATTTAGAGGTAGAGGAGGTATTGGGAATCTCCCGAATCACCTCCAAAAAAGTTGGTTTGCGGTGTACATCTTAACTGTCCACAGAATCATCCGATCAAAAAAAAATTAGACCTAATTCGTTAAAGAATAAGTGTCCAAATTCACAAAGCGTTTTTATTTTTAAAATTTTTTCCCGATTTTTAATAAAAATTTGAAATCAAAACCCCGGTTTTTGACTAAAAAATTAAGTAAATTTGTTAAATAAAAATAAAAAAATATAATAAAATTAAAAATTAAAAAAAGGTCAACGTGAGTACCTGTAGAATTATCTAAAGAAGCTATGTTCCAAATTTCAAACCAATTGGTTCAGTAGATTTTGAGTTATCGTGTACACCGATTTTCAAAATGGCATTTTTCAGGAGAGCGCTTTAAACTTTGTGATGCTCATGCATTGAACAAGCGACCTTCGTTCAACTCGGCATAACTTTTCCAATTTTGCTATGATCGATGTAAAAGTTGGACACAATATTCTTAAGATATTGAGCCTTTAAAATAAAAAACAAAAAAAAATTTACGGAAAAAAAAAATTAAATACCGCACCCCCCTTAATGCCGAAAATGCACAACTTGCTTTCGTCCGAAAAAATATCTGATTCGGTTTTGGACTTCCAGTTTAAGCTCGTGCGCTGGTAATCTTGGATTGTTCTGGACTAGTTGGAGAATTTTTTTTTTTCTCTTTTCGTTAACTTGCTTGGACGGCCAGATTTGGGCGCTGACAAGATAGATCCAACCTTTGCGTAATTGGTAATAACTCTTTGAACAGATGAGTGCGATCTGCCAATGTTTTTCCCAATCTCCCTGTATGTTTTGCCTTCAAGATGCAGTTTAAGTATGATTTTTCTTTCGGCAGGAGGTGGAACCTAGAAAAGTGTGTTCCTCACCCTATTATGCTATACTTAAGATAATTGAAAGAACCAAGTCTAAGAGTTACTTACTGTCGTTTATGTCGGGGCTGCCCCATAGGAAGTGGTGCGCGTTGGCGTCTGCACCCACAAGCAGTTGCTGGTCCTTCGGTGGGGCCGTCCTATTGTGTGCCATGTAACAGGAAGCTACCAAAAGGCGCTTTTTTTCGCTCTCTAGTATCACCACAATGAGGTCATCAGACCTGTAATGGGACTTGTAGCCTTCCGTACAAGTACGGCGGTTCTATTCCTGTTTACCGTTGGTGGATGGAGCAAATTGTAATTTGCGGACTTCAGTCCGGCGATGGCATTGCCTGAGGTGATCCATGGCTCCTGGACCAAAGCTATGTCGGCGGATCCTTGCTCCATGGCTATGAGGAGTTCCGCTGACGCGACCTTGCTCTTATGGAGGTTGAGCTGCAGCACCCTGAGTGTCATGGGTACTGGGTTCACCTCCATACGACGGGTTGACTACTACGGTCAGGTCACTTTCCTCTCCTTCGTCGGACTCATCCAGCGTCATTTCCCGGTCGGCATCCACGATGGTTTCCAGACCTAGGTCCTTCTCCACCACGCCTACCTTCAGGGCGGCCTTCCTTATCCCCAGGATGGCGATCTTTGAGGCGCAGGTATACGCTACCCATGCCTCACGCCATCTTCCCGTATCTGGGATGGAGGATGTCCTCTGCCTCCTTGTTTATCTGGAGGACTGCACTTTGCCCCTCCTCCTTGGGTGATGGGGCCGAACCTTCCAGTCCGCGGTTGGTATGTCCGGATTCTGACGCTGCAGCAGCTTCAGCGCCCGATCGCCTTGGATTGCGATGGGGAAGAGTACCTTCACCTTTGGAATGGATGCGAATAGCTCCCTGTCCACCACCTCCAGCTTGGCCGCCTCCAACTGGCAGACCATGCGGAGGGCAGCCGTGTACTACGCCTTAGCCTTTTTTTTTTTTTTTTTTCGCGCGGCGTCCCGCTTCCACCTCCCGCCCAACCGACCGAGGGGCGCAGCCGTGTGACGTACGGCACGAATCGCGAACTAGATAGACGGGTTAGAATGAAAGAAGAAATGAACGCGGAAAAAATAGAACAAAAAAATATTTTAAAAATGTAATGTATTATAAATAAAAACGCATGCAAAATTAGACTACGGTTCTACACTACGACCTAACTTTACAAGTATTAAAGTTTTTAATATAGAAGGGTTATCACTACGAATTATAATGTCAGAGGGGCGGTTGTAATCCGTACATAAAACCCTAAAGGGTTCATGTACTTCATACTCCCACCCACAGTGATTTACTACTAATGGGATATGGGTTCTGGATGTTAGTCGAGGAACGTAGAAATTGAGATGACCTAAGAGATAAGGGCTCTCAACATCACCGTTTATTATGTTGTTAAGAAACACGACGCCAAGCATCGTTCTACGGTTAGCTAGGGAGAGTAAGTTAATTAATATAAGTCTACTAGAATAGGACGGTAGCCTCTCATCAGCATCCCAGGGTAGGCCACGGAGGGCGAAAAGTAAAAAGTTCTTTTGTACAGATTCAATACGGTTAATATGGACTCCGAATTGAGGACTCCAGACGCATGAACCATACTCCAATATAAGGCGTACTAACGAAGTAAAAAGGGTCTTCGTTATAAAGGGAGAATCGAATTCCTTCGACCACCTCCTAATAAAACCGAGCATGCACATGGCTTTATTAACCATGCACGAAATATGCTCAGAGAACGAAAGTTTAGGGTCTAAGCGAACACCCAAATCGTCAACAAGAGTTATTCTTTCCAGAGCGCAATCATTTAGTATATAAGTGGCAAACTGGGGAGTGACACGTGAAAATGTCATCAGCTTGCATTTGGAGCTATTGAGATGTAATAAATTAGCAAGACACCATGCCTGAAAGTTATTAAGATCCGATTGCAGGTCTGACTGGCAAGAGCTGTCCCTATACTGCAAGCATAGTTTAACGTCATCAGCATACATAAGTACTCTAGAGTTCGTTAGAACCAGCGGAAGGTCATTGATAAACAAAGTAAATAGCAGCGGGCCGAGGTGGCTACCTTGGGGACACCAGATGTAACCCTAAGAACATAAGAAAGTTTATTTTTAAAGAGAATCTTTTACGTCCTGACACTTAGATAACATAAGATTCAATTAAGATCAATCGGGAATCCCATTAAATCGAGTTTCCGAACAAGAAGAGAATGGTTAACAGAGTCAAATGCTTTACTGAAATCAGTATAGATTACATACATCTATCTGGAAGTTATTTCGGTAGCCCTTTATAATAAAGGAAGTGAGCTCGAAAAGTTTGGTTGTTATTGAACTTTAAATAAAACCATGTTGACATAGAGAAATAATGGTGCTGCAAATGAGGAGTAATGACATTTTCGAACAGTTTTGTGATGGCCGACAACTTAGAGATTCCTATATACAGCTGTGTTCGCTGAAATAACAGTGCGACAGAGGAACAACTTTAAAAGGTTTTTTTTTTGCATATTCCTTTTTGTTAGTTGACCTATTGCACACTTTTTTTGTAAAATGGAACATAAAGATAAGAATCGCGAAAAAATTCCGTTAGATTTGCTCAATTTTTATGTTTTATTGGAATTTTTCACACATACAGCTCGTTTTGGCTGTTCACAGAAATAACAGTTTTTAATTTTCTTACGCAGAAAGTGCCGAAATTTCTTTTTATTTTATGAAAAATGAGTTTAATTAAGGTCGTTAATATAGTTTATACATTAATACACCTTTACAACGAAAAAAAAATTATTTTAGTGGGTGCAGGACCTCACTGATCCAAGAGAGAAATTTAGCCTAGAAAGAAGGGCAAAACATATAAAGAAACTCCAAGTCCTTCATATTGTTCTTTTAAAATAGTTTATAATCCCATAAACTATGAATCGAACCCAAAAAAACCGAGGTGGAATTCGCAAAACCACAATTTTAGAGGCTCGACGCGTCCTTCGCTTTAGCAAAGCTAGTCCTTTTGCATCCTCTAGGGATAAAAGAGCGGGAATTGGCATGGGAATCAGTTATGTGACCATTTGCCGGGGACTTATTGAAAAAATTTTAGATTCGCGAAGTCCATGGAAGATGCCACATTCTCGGCTTTTCTTTTAGCACCGTTCCGACACCGCATAGTTCTCTCTCGTTAAATATTCGCAAAAAAGGTGGCATAAATTAATGCCTTCTCTAAAAATTTGGTGACCCCGACGTGATCGTGAACGTGTGTTAAAGTTAAGCAATTATTAAATATCGTTTTAATAATTCTACGCACCCCTTGCACATGTCGCTGCAGGGCCACACACACAAACCCTTTTCGCATCGCTTCGCACGGTATTCGCATATACCAACATAATTACATACATTGTACAGTTAGAATCGGCTTTGCATAACGGAAGGTGTTACACAACTTCGTTCGCCAGGCAGAGGTCGTCGCCTTTTGTTTTCGGCTCCTTCATTACCCTCAAATTCGTTCTTTGGTTTTCGCTGGCCCAAGTGCAGGTGCAGCGGAAATTTCGTGCGGTGACTTTCGTATACCCTACAAGCGGCAAATAAAAATTAAAAATGCCAGCCAAACATACAAAAAAGCCTGAGCTCGCGCCTCACGCACCAAACGGCGAGGAGTTTTATCGGGCAAAGGCAGATTCTATGGTACGCCAGCTGGCGGCCCTTAATTTATTTCTGACAGAGGAGCAGTTGGCCAAATTCGATGAAAGTGAGTTGCAGGTTCGGTTGGATTTAATCGAGCGCATGTACTCTGACTTCAATAGCTCTCGACTTAACCCCGAACAGCTTGTAATTGAGGAGCTGGAGTCAGATGCGCGCTTGACCTTTACCACGGCATATTGTGAGACGAAAGGAAAAATCTGCCGCCATCTCAATAGTGAGAAGAGAAAGTCGTTGGCAAATTCAACTGAGTTGCATGGCATCCTCGGTAGACACACAGCTGCCTTCAAGTGCAATTCGCGGCCCACCAGGCTACCGAAATTTCAACTTCCGCGATTTGGCGGAACATACATCGATTGGCCGGATTTCTACGCCATGTTCAACACAGTAGTGGGAAAGAATGAAGATCTAACAAAGGTGGAAAAATTTCAGCATCCTCGTGCATGTTTGGACGGCATAGCACTGGACGCAATTCGCTCGCTGGAGCCTACGGAAAATAATTACGACAGGGCTTTGGAATTGTTAACGTCGAGATTTGATAATAAATTATTGCACTTTCAGGCACATGGTCGGTCGTTATTCAAGCTACCAGGGGTGGAGAAGGGATCCGCAAGTAGTCTGCGGCAGTTAAGCGACAAGGCAAATTCTCATTTGCGCGCCCTGGCTACTATGGCCTCTACGCAGGAAATCTATGATGGCCTCTTAATTCATCTCATTTCTTCAAAACTGGACATTCAGACCCAGGAGAGGTGGGAAGAAGGGTTGCCTTCCAAGGAGCTGCCAAGTTGGAATAAATTCTCATCGTTCTTGGACCTCAGATGCCGCATGATGGAAAATTTCGAATACGCTATGGTAAACCTAGCAAACAGGTTGGAAAAGTAGCTGGCAAATTTTGTCGTAGCAACCTCATTGCTTCATCATCAGCTATGCCATCATGTACCCTGTGCGAGTCTAGGGAACATTATTTGACAAAATGCCCACAATTCTTAGGGTTGAACGCCAATCAGCGGTATAGAGAGTCAAAAAGGGTACATCTTTGTCTCAACTGCCTACGAAAAGGACACAGCCAACAGCAATGCAAGTCTGGCAACTGTAGATACTGCCACCAGAGCCATCATAGTCTTCTTCATTTGGAACCAAACCCCATTGCAACCCTGTCCCAGCCTGTTCCAGAAATACTTCCGCAAGGATCAGCTCACGTCTCTGTAGCCTTGTCCAAAACACCGCCTTTAGCTTCATCGTCGACTAGATCCAAATACGTCTTGCTTGCTACCGCCATAGTCTACGTAAAAAATCGCTCTGGCGTGTTCGTGCCATGCAGGGCCTTGCTCGATTAGGCTTCTCAAATCAATTTCGTCACCTCTCGTTTCGCCAATCAGCTTCAGCTCAAGATCCATCGTTCATTCATCTCCATATCAGGAATCGGTGAATCCTCGCTCGCTTCGGATAAATCGGTTCATATTTTCGCTCAGTCGAGTAACGCAAAGTATAGCACTTCGCTCTCTGCTGCTGTCACCCAGTCAATCACCGATTACCACCCGCATTTCGATCTCAATGCGTCTGAATGGAAAATACCGGAAAATCTCGAGCTCGCCGACCCGCTCTTCTACAAAAGTCATCGCATCGACTTGCTTCTAGGAGCAAGCATATTCTTCGAGCTACTTTGTATTGGACAAATTCGATTAGGCAGCAATTTACCCACTCTGCAGAAAACCAGACTTTGCTGGATCGTCTCAGGGGGTCTATCGGTAGGATCTTCCGTTCGCTCATCTTTAGTTTCCTTATCTCAAGAGCCCAGCACTCATTCGGAGTCGGAGTCGATCTCTGAGATACTAAAGAGATTTTGGGAAATCGACAATTGCGCAGATTCTACAAAAACCATTTTGAAAGAAGAAGCTCTATGCGAGCAGCTATTTCAGCAGGAATACACTCGGCTTGAATCTAGCCAATATTCGGTACTTCTTCCTGCCAAAACTAGTTTTGATGCTCTAGGAGATTCATATGATCGTGCACTTCTTCGTTTTAAATCACTCGAGACCAAATTAGCTAGAAATTAGAGCTGAAGTCGCAGTATAAAGCCTTTATAGAGGAGTACCTGAGCCTTGGTCACATGTCTCTAACAATTAAAAATGCTGCAGCTCATCAGTATTACCTACCCCACCACTGCGTCCAAAGATTGGAAAGTACAACAACAAAACTGCGAGTTGTTTTCGACGGCTCAGCGAAGTCCA